GTTTGGGTGAAAGAAGGAAGAGTTTTTGATATGTATTACTTTTTAAGATGGGGGATACTAAGTGAAGACTTTTATACTAATGGATATGATAATAAATAGAGACAAATCAATGATACTGTATAGGAGGATTGGCATCCTTGAAAAGTCTTTTTGAAATTTTTATAAAGGAATTGATAAGTATTTATTATTGTGGCAGTTAAGAGCCAACATACAGATACCAAGAGGGGAAGCAGGGTAGGATGAATGGAGAGATTGGGATTGACATATACACACTACTATGTATAAAGCAGATAACTAATGAGAACATACTGTACAGCACACAGACTTGCACTCTTCTCCCAGTTATCCAAGTCACGTCAGGGCTTCTCTCTCCCCTGCTCAAACACTACTATGCCCAAATCCAGTCATTGTATCCCATAACAATCTGCTTACAATATATCTCTGGAATTTTGTTTCTTTCTCCAACTCCAATAATTCCTAATTTTGGCCTTTATTATTTCTCATTCAGATAAATTAAGCACTTTCTCAGACCATCCTGATGCTCTATATGCTGCTAGATTTATCATTTTCAAAGCATTAAAATTCTTCTATCTAATCAATTATGAATAAAAATAAAGGTCATAGTTTACTAGGCCCCTACCCTATGTCAGGCATCATCTCATCTATCCTTATAAAATGGGTAGCATATTTATTTTATATTTGAGGTAACTGAAGTTTAGAAATGGGTGAGTAATTTATCCAAATTCACATAGCTAATAAGTGGATAAACCAAGATTCAATTTCAGGGCCTTTCAATTGCAAAGTCCTTGCTGTTAATCAATATATCCTTCTGTCTAAACTCCTAAGCATGGTGCGTGAAGTTCTAAATGATCTGACCTTAACCTACTCCCCAGCTTGACCCCCTGTCCCTCTGTTCCACTTAACCATAGCAGATATTGGCTATCCGCTCTCTCCCTATTCCTTACTAATAACCTCTGTTTTCTTCAGGATGGCAATATGCTCAGCTAAAAACTAATCTTCCTGGTCTTCCTGGAAGCTGAGATTACCATTCATATAATTCTGACAAAAGAGATGTTAAATGGAAATCTCTGGATGGGGTTTCTGGGAAAGCTCTTTAAAAGGAGTCGAAGTAATCAGACATACAATTTTTTCCCTCTTCTACTCCATCCTCTTCCTTCCTGGAAAACAGTACTGTAGGTGGATCAGCCTTCTAACAGCCATGAGACAGACATTGAGCATGAAAGTCCCATAGGTCAGAAGACAGGATATATTTAAGAAAATTAGGAGCAGGTCTGTGATGGCACTGCCCACCTCAGAACTGTTTACCAAAAGACTAATACATTTATTTGACCTGTGTTCCTACTCCTAGTTAATTGTTGTTAACTATGTTAATCATTGTTAACATTGCTATTCACTGACACATACCCTACACTGAGGCCTTACTGATCAATTTGCAATTTCCTCAATATACCATGATTTGGCACACTTCTACAGAGGTAGGCCTACAGTTAAGATACATGTGTAACTCAGTCACTAACTTCAAAAGCAGGCATACTCCAGCTTTAATACGTGACGTTTAAACAGTTTCTCTGTTTTATATACTCGACATTTTACAAGTCTTTCTTTGAAGGGTTCTAACTCAAAAAATGGATTGAAATCCATGGACCTATAGCGTAGTTTAATCACTGAAATTTCTCAAAGTTTTATGCTTTTTTTTTTAATTAGGCCAAATGACCATCAATCACAAACAAATCCACTCTGTAAAGTTTAATTTTGGAACTCTGCTTAAATACTATTCTTTCAGCTTTTGTTCAGAGATAATATGGGAAATAATGTTTGAATACCTATAAAACCGGCATATAGGATACTGTGTATCCCATGGTCTTTTATACAAAGGTTCTTGGTGGTGTATACACCACTCAGGTGAAGTAAAGGTTTATTTTTCTTTGAGGAACTGATGCATTCACTAGCACTAGCATGTAAGCTACGTAGCTCACTTTTTTTTTTTTATTCTTAGCAGCTAGTTTTTTGTCCAATGTCTGTGGCTTCTTTCAGCTAACATTTTTATACTTTTTAAAGTCTATCTTTTGATACTTTAGTTAATTGTTTTATTTATTGTGCCAATGTATTTATTGAAAGCTATCCCAAATTATTGTTTGGAAGTAGGCAAGTTATTTTTTTTTTAAATAATACTTTAAAGGGAAAAGAAATATAACTTCTGATATGACCAACAAGACCCACTATATGCAGATAGCCTTAGATTAATCAATCTTTGTTGCAGTGTAATTTTCTATCCAAGTTACTGTAATAAAATTAAAGGTGTGTTGTGAGAGATAGTCCTTCATGGTCCCTGCATGCTGTTGCTGGGCATGCCAAGAATGCAAGCTCTTGACCACTCTTTAAAACTGAGCAATTTCTCAGGACTGCAGTGAGCAATCTTGATGGATGAGGTGACATTTCCTTCCAGACAAAGAGTGGGTTTGCTTTTATTTACTACAAAAGCAGTAGGTTGCTAAACTAAGCATTCCTTAGCTATGACACAAACCCACTAAATGTGTAAAATTCAACTGTCTCTCGGTGTTGCCCTGTAGGACTTAGGATACCTGAGGAATCAATGCCAACATGACTATTTGCTACACCACAGTCATAAGATCTCTGACCAAGGAGTCTCAAGTCTTCTGCCAGCATCATAACAGCAATAGGCTAACTTGTAGGTATGTATAATCCCAGACCCTGACAAGATGTTGATTTAAAAGAAATTAGTTGATTATTCCAACTCTGAAAGCAGGTTTTAATTAAATCCTTTGTAACTCACAGGAATTCCTATAGACGTATCATTAATGAAGATGACAGAGAAAAGTCAATTAAAATAAACATTTAAAACAACATCTTCAAAGGGACCATAAAGAACTGGTGAGATATTGATGTTTTAAAGATAAAAATTCTATTTTGTTGTCTCTATACATCAAGAACATGGAGGAAATTCAAATTGTTTAAGGTAAAGAAGGCAGGCCCATTATCACTCTATAATTTTACTTTTAAAAGGAGAGAATTATCAGACATTGAATAGGCCAAAAATAACAGATAAGACAGAAAAATTTGATAAACTGAATTATGTAGGACAACTGAGCATTTTTCCATACATTATAAGGCTCTACTTTAAACATAAACCACAACACTGTGAAAGTTAAAAATAGAAAAAAAAATTTTTCTTAAAAAGTGAAAAAAACTCATGCTGTAGGTACTAAAAGTATACTGTGTTAATTAATAAGTGATATATCCCAGAATAAATACAGAAATAAATTATAGCTGCATTCAATGCAAGCATCTGCACATAAAAACTCTACAATTATTCTACTGGCAAATAAATGATAAAAATTAAATCCTTTATAGATGAGGAAATTTCTAACATTATTCAATAACTAAGCATACTCTGCCTTTCTGCAACTCCCAACCAACATTACCAAAAAATAGCACTCAATGTGTGACTACTCAGAACTGTAAGCAATTCAAATGCCACTATTCAGAAAGCTACATGAGAAATAGCTGATAGCAAAGTGTCCAGAAAACTCAAGGCTCTGCACTCAAGGACTGAAAATTTCAACACTGAAAAAAGGACATTTCCCTAGAAACATTATATATTTTAAATATTAATTCACAAGTAAATACAAAGTAAGACGGCAGATTGGGAGAACACAATGAAAGGAGTTGACAACAAAGGAAAGAAGAGTTATAAAAAAAATGAAAGAATAATTACAAAAGTAGAGCTGTATGTTATCATTTAGACAAAGAAACTAAGGTAAAATGCCATTTGTGGTATCACTATTTTTGAACACAGCACATCAAAGTCATTCATTATTTTACATATAGCTATCATTTTATACACAAGGGAAATATGGAAGTTTTGCTGAATAACCTAGATTGTACAGGGTACAGAGCAGGAATTTTATTCATTTATGTTTCAATGTAACGGTATATTCTTTTAGTTACTTTACAACTACTAAGAAGATGTTAGAAAATTATTCTGATAAAATGACAAAACAAAATCCTTGTCATACCACTGACTGGAAAAAATCTGATAATTCAACAAATATATATTTGACAATTTGTGAAGGTATTCTGTCAGCAAACATTCCATACTGATGTATTTTATTCACCCAAAATTGTAAACTAATTTTGAAAACGTGAAACATTATTTAGTTCTAATGCTTACACACATGAAATAATTTATAAGATAACTATATATATAATATTAAAAATCTTCCTAATGATAAAGGAAAGAGTTGATCAACTTTAGGTTAAAAAAGAAAGAAGAGAATGTATTCTACTAAATATCCAAACGTGTTTGGGCAAAAAGTGATTTTGAAGGATAAAAAATACCTTTTACTTAAAACTAAAATTGAGGTTATTTTCATTTCTGAGATAAAGTTCCTTTAGCAATATATCCTTTGCTCATGTTTAAGAAAAACCTGTCATATATCTTTAAATAATTTTCAAAATGTTTAAAACTTTAAAAATATTTTTCATCAGATAAATGATATGTTTTAGTATATATCTAATGAACTAGGGTAGTTGAGGTTTGGTGAAGGTCATTTAAAATACTAGAAGCAAATTTAGGGCAATCTTTGCCCAACCTCTGGTCCACGGCATTGAGGCCTAATCTTACCATCCAGGTTTCTTTTCTTTTTCTTTACTGTCTCATGAGCCTATTGTTTTAAAAGATTTTCATGTATTAATTTATTAATTGAAACAGTCCAAGTAAGATATTATAATGAAACTCTTAAAAAGAGCTTCTAAAAATCACAGAAAACATGGAGTAAGCAGTGCTACTCCATTCAGTGTGCTGATAAAATCCAGAAAATACAGACCAGAAGTTTAACCTAGCAATTGTTCAACAGGCCAAAGGAGGTAAAGAAAACATTTTAATCGAAGTTCAATAAAACACTCTGGATGCAAACTAGTAAAAGGATGGAGTGCTAGAGTTAATAAAGAGTATTCACCACATGGGTTGATTGTAGAGCTAAGTGAAGCAGCTCCAGTGGAAAGGCCGCCTTTTGAAACTGATGAAGCCACAGAAGGTATAGAGGATGAAGTTGGTGTAGTGGAGGAGGCTGTTGAGGATGGTAACCGTTCTCCAGACTCCATATCTATGAGAAGGAGGCAAATGTTAATTTTCAGTATTAAATAGTAGAATTATGCAAAAGAATTAAATATATTTAAAATAAGTCAAACTTCTAGGAATATTTTTTTAAAATATGAAAATAAGTTTAGAAATACATGTTCCTCAGAAAGATAAAATATATAGTAAATAAAAACAATGTAAATTAAAATACCAGTTTAAAAGGTAAGCTTAATACTAAGCATAACAAATCTAAAAAACTTGTATTCTTATATAAAAAAATAAGTCATTTAAATACAGTAACTTCATACAACTATGTGTTGCCATAATCTTAGGAAAATAAGCATATTAACTTTTCATTCTTCTTAAATCACCTCGTCATTTATTCACTTACAGCATAATACTCCTATTATCTTAATGAATCAAGACAATACGACCAAATTATAGTGAAACGTAACCCTGTCTTCTAAACCCAAATAGCAACATACCTCTAGGTCCATCCATGAATCTGATCTGGTAATCCCCAATACAGTAAGTTCTCCCAAGAACACAAATACATTTTAGAGTTTATCCTAGAGTCTAGTTTGAATTACAGTCTCAAAATGGCTTTAATATGATCCATTTATAATGACTTGACTTCTGAGCATTTTTATTAACTTGCTTAGCTATTCTGGGTACTATTTACATTGATCTTATTATAATAGCTTATATTGATATTAAAATCTAGAATGGAAATGAATGAAGGAGTCAAAAGTCAAGAACTTACAATTATGAAACAAATATGTGATAGGATGTAATGGACTGCATGGTGACTATTCTTAATAAAATTTTATTGTGCATTTGAAAGTTGCTAAGAAAATAGAGGAGAAACAACCTCAGATATGCAGATGATACCACTCTAATGGCAGAAAGCAAAGAGGAACTAAACAGCCTCTTGATGAGAGTGAAGGAGGATAGTGAAAGAGCTGGCTTAAAACTCAATTTTAAAAAAACCTAGATCATGGCATCCGATCCCATTCAGCTCAGTTCAGTTCAGTCACTCAGTCGTGTCCAACTCTTTGCAACCCCATGAACTGCACCATGCCAGGCCTCCCTGTCCGTCACCAACTGCCAGAGTTTACTCAAACTCATGTCCATCGAGTCGGTGATGCCATCCAGCCATCTTATCTTCTGTCGTCCCCTTCTCCTCCTGCCCCCAATCCCTCCCAGCATCAGGGTCTTCTCCAATGAGTCAACTCTTCGCATGAGGTGGCCAAAGTATTGGTTTCAGCTTCAGCATCAGTCCTTCCAATGAAAACCCAGGACTGATCTCCTTTAGGATGGACTGGTTGGATCTCCTCGCAGTCCAAGGGACTCTCAAGAGTCTTCTCCAATACCATAGTTCAAAAGCATCAATTTTTCAGCGCTCAGCTTTCTTCACAGTCCAACTCTCACATCCATACATGACCACTGGAAAAACCATAGCCTTGACTAGACGGACATTTGTTGGCAAAGTAATGTGTCTGCTTTTTAATATGCTATCTAGGTTGGTCATAACTTTCCTTCCAAGGAGTAAGCGTCTTTTAATTTCATGGCTGCAGTCACCATCTGCAGTGATTTTGGAGCCCCCAAAAATAAAGTCTGCCATTGTTTCCACTGTTTCTGCTAAACATCAGATAATTCACAGGACATTCCCACACAGAGGTAATTACCTGGCCCAAAATGTTAGTAGTGCTAAGGTTGAGAAATTCTCATCTAAAGTATCAAAAACTGAATTACTTGGAATTCAATCAGCCAAACTTTTTGTTAAGTATTAATTTTTTATTATTATTATAAGATACTTCAAGCTGATTTATCACCACGACAATAAATGATAAAATTATATTCAGCCCATCTTTATCAGCATACTTCCAGAGGTGGCTTAAATGGTAAAGAATCCACCTGTAATGCGGGAGACCTGGGTTCAATCCCTGGGTTGGGAAGATCACCTGGAGAAAGGAATGGCCACCCGCACTCTGGCCTGGAGAATCCCATCGCCAGAGAATAGTCCATTGGGTTGCAAAGAGTCAGACACAACTGAGTAACTTTTACTTCACTCACCAGAGTTTATTATTTTACATTTTGTCCTAATTGTTTAAAACTGAGCATGAATAATACACAATTAACATATCATAATGCTCACTCCCAGTAGATAACTGAATTTACTGTATTTTACTGAGATGATATTTACTGTAACAATTCTGAAAACAGAAAAAAATCAGAATTTCCACCATTTCATCCCTGTACTATTCTATGTATGCCAGAAGAATTCACTGATCAATAATAATACTGATCAAATGTTCCTTTTTGTGTAATCATAGAGCTTATGAACAGTGACAGCTGCTAGGTGTAAACGTGAACAGGTGCAAATAGGGAAGGGCAAGACAAGCTGGCTACCAAATGTAAACATGATCAGCTGCCTTGTACTTCACCTGCATGAATCCTTTAACAGTATGGCTGTAGAAGAGACTGAAGACTCAGAAAGTATATAAACAAACATATTTCTCCTGCAAGGAGTTTTCCTAGAGGGTCTTTATCTTTACCAGAAATACCAAAAGTTCTCTATGGAAGTTCAAAGCACAAAAGTAGATTTGGTGAATCCTCCCTTCTCTTTACAATATAACTTCACATGAAAAACAATAGTTAAGAATATATCAGGAGACAGTCACTATGCTGCTTCTTTTGCTTTAGCAGGATCACTAACAGCAGTGCTGCTATATATCAATTATTTTCTCAAAGTTCTGACAAAGCCCTTTGTATAACTATGTAAAAAATAACTTCCAGGAAACTGAACATTTGGATAAACAATATTTCAAAACATTAAGTAGAAAAAAAAGCAGCAAACAAAAATTTTTCTGTAAAAAGCTATAGAGAAATAGGTGACACAGAAATACCTTATTTGACAACAAACAAAATTATTTTCTGAATATATCTGAAAGAAAATGATTCTATCTATAAAAATTTTTATTTACCTACATTTTCAGAAATAGTTATTTCAAGTCATTGAGCATAATATATTGTGCTTTAAAATATGAATATATAAAAGGGATCAATTCCCTTTGCTGGAAAGAGAAGGACAAATATCTGGTATTAACACATATATATGGAATTCAGAAAAATGGTATTCATGAACCTAGAGGAGAATGGACTTGTGAACACAGTGGGGGAAGATGAGGGTGGGATAAAGTGAGAAAGTAACACTGACATGTATCATGTATAAAACAGACACTTAGTGGGAAATTGCTCTGACACAGAGAGCCTAGCCTGGTGCTTTGTGATGACCTAGAAGGGAAGGATTGGGCACTGGGAAGAAGACTCAAGAAGGAGGGAATAGATATTTAATTATGACTGATACATAGTGCTGCGTGGCAGAAACTAACACAATATGGGAAAGCAATTTTTCCACCAATCAAAATTTTTAAAGGCTATTGCATTAATAACTGAAAAAAATTTCCTTTGTTGTCTGACACATTTTAACTATTATTGTAAACAGTCAAGCAATTACACCCCCAAACAACAGTAGGGGGCAATCAGGTGCTCTGGGTGCGGCCTGTGAGTTGGAGCAAGTCTCTGACAATACCTCTAAATAATATTTTTCTCATCAGAAAATGATGGCTTTGAATTAGACTAGCCCTCAAGTCTTATCAGAGTTTTATCAACTTCACATTGCATTAAAATATTTAACAATTTAGTTTCTCATTTCCCTTAGCCTCCCTACCACTTGCCTTACTCCTATCTTTGAATATCTGTCCTTCTAAATTACAGATTACTATTAAACCTTTAGAGATTAACTCTTACCTTACTTATACCTCAAGAGAACTGATGATGAGAAAATCATCCAAGAGTAAAGCACTGATTTTCATATGCTCAGCAAATATCTATTCAGAGAGTATTCTTTTCCACCCAAAGGATTAAATATTCCTTTGCAATGAGATATCCTAGAGAAAGAGGCTAATCTAAGATATTATATATAAAAGAATATTAAAGGAATATTTGAGTCACATTTAACATATACAGATCAACTAAACTTTAGGTAGAGTCTGTGAATTTAAATATTGATGAGATTGGAGATTTCTAAAAAGGATAAAATGTTAGAAGAATAAAAACAAATAAAAAGAGGCAACGTCTGATTAATTGACCCTTTCACCTACAAATGCAAGGGACCCCAAAGAACAAGCAAAACGGCCTAAATTTTAGCTTAATTAAGAAACACAATTGCCTGAAATTTCTAAGACATTTCTGTATAGTAACTGAGGCAGATGAATAACAGATTGAGAAAATAAAGAAGGGTAAAAAATGGGAATCGAGTAACTCAACGCAAAATATCTACAAAAACTCAGACACCAAGGAAAGAAAGATCCGAAGTACTACATGACTGATAAACTACAGTAAAAATTCCCTTTCAATGGGGAAGAGTATAGTTAATTTAACAGGGCAAACAACCCTGATAAAAGAACAAAAGGGAAATAGTTTATGAAAATCAAGTAAAAGTACTTTTGTCTTGGTCACCCGAATTCTGTTTATCAACTATTATTACTCTCCTGTTCCAAAGTCTTAAATTTAACCACATCACATATGTAGGTAAAGATATATGTAAAGAATATTAAACATATTAACTGCAAAGACTTTTAAAAACAAAAAATTCTATTGGTAAGAAACTGATAAATTATGGTACATCCCTCTAACAGAATATCATGCAACTGTTACAAAATAATAAAGTAGATTGACAGTAGCTAATTTGCTAAATGAAAAAAAGTGGGGAAGACTAGAAATTGATCTTGTGTGACAAAGAAATAAGGGCTAAACTGATTCATGTCATTGTACAGCAGAAACTAATACAACATTGTAAAGCAATTATCCTCCAATTAAAAATAAAGCCAAAAAGAACCAAAAAATACAGGTAAATGAAACTTTCTGAAGGAAGGAAGGTCAATCCACATGAACAAATGGAAATAAAATTTTGGAACCTTCTCATCTTTGGCTTATTGGCCCACAAAATACCCTGGGGAT